TACACAAGTATATACGGTGTGTAAACCAGCTGTTGAGGAAATTGCATAAAACTCTTGCTCCTTTGTATTGTTTGGTCTTGAATTCTAGTATCATCCTAATAATAAGGCAGCGTAGCTTGGCAATTTAGAAAACAGTCTTCTGGTTAGTCAAATCTGGAGTTAAATTCTGATTTCATTGGCATATGGCCTCAGATAAGTTATTTGACCTCCTTCAAATCCAGTCTCTTCATCTACAAAGCAGTGATAATAATACCTAAGTCTCAAATTGTATGTGAACATTTATTTCAATTGCATATACAAAATAGCAGCTTTGAGTCTGGCACATGGTTAGTGTAGATTTGGCTTTGGTAGATTCAACACTGGGTCTTATCCACTCATGGAAAACCAGCTGGGTTCTGGGAGTAAAATTAACAATCATAAAGAGAGCTTATTTTTCACAAGTACAACTGATCATGTCTTTCCAATGAGTAGAAGAGATACTACTGTAACTTTGGGCATCCACTTCTCAGTTGAGAGTCTTGGAGAAAAGAGAAAGTCTTGAAATGTTCACGTGAATCACAAAGACCTGTTCTGATGAGAGGTTTGTTCTATCTTGAAATATTGTTTTCTCCTATTTCTAGTATCAATTTTACCTAGATTGTTGCTGTTGTATGTCACCGAGTTGATTATGACTCATACTGACACTATATGCCAGGGAACTGCCTCAGAGGGTTTCCTAGGCTGTAATCTTTGCAGGAGTACATTGCCAGGCAATAGGATGCCTTAAAGAGAGGAAATTATACTCTGATTCATAGAAGACCAATTTCTGCATTTCATAAACCAAATCAAACAAATGAAAATAGATTATTATTAACCAGAAGTAGCCTCTGTCAACAGTCTGTTTAATATCCAAATCTATATTTACAACTAAATCTAGATATTTATTCACTTATTTCTTCTTACCAACATTGAATCCATTTGTAGGAATTGTTTCTCAGGACCCGCTTCTAACAAATTATTTGGCAGTATAACCATGGACATCTTAATTTATCCTTACTTTATACCATCCAAATCATTGAATACATAGTATGTCTTCATTTGGCTGCCCAGGAGGATGGTTACAGGTCGGAGACAGGGCCATAGAAGGACATACCAAAGCCTAAATTGAGGAGGTGGTTTAGGGAAGGGAAAGTCATGGCAACCAATGAGGTAATGGCTGAGAACGGGGCTGTGGGGTCATATTTCCTGCCTTTGCTTCCTCCTGGTTGGACACTTACCAGCCAGGTCTGAACCTTTCCAGGTGAGAGTTTCTTTGCCTATAGAATTGGACGGTAGTATTATCTACCTTATAGAATTACATCGGATAATACATGTAATACACTTAGCACAGGGTCTATTAATCTCATTAATTATCAAGAAACCCAGGTAGTGCTGTTGGTTAAGCATTGGGCTGATAACTGCAAGGTTAGTGATTCAAACCCACCAGCTGACCCATGGCAGATAGGTAAGGTTATCTGTTTCTGTCAATATTTAGTCTTGGAAAACATAGGCAGCAGTTCTCTGTCCTAAATGGCCAACAGGAGTCAGAATGGACTCCCTAGCAGTGGGTGACACATGGTAGGTGCTCAGTAAATATTTGTTGAATGAGTGAGAATTAGGAAGAACGTAAGGAAACGAGAAAAAGGAAGAGCCATAATGCAGTGAGGTACTCCTGAGTGGTGTAGTTAATGAGCTCAGCTGCCAACTGAAAGGTTGGAGGTTCGAGACTAACCAGAGGTGTGGCAATCCACTTTAGAAAAATCAGCCCATGTTATTCCACTCTGACACGCCTGGCTTTGCCATGAGTCAAAGTTGGCCTGAAGAAAGTGATAGTAGCTGGCATTCATTGAGACACTTTAACATCCCAGGCTGGAAGATTGAAGGAAAATCCATGGCTCCTGAAGAAGGCGATTGTACAATCAGGCCATCTTTCCATAAATGTGGGCCCCACCCACATTTCTGGACTTCCAACTGCATTTCCCCAGATTTGATTGGCAATGGTAGATTCCTTCACTAGATCCATACGTCCTGTTTTAGGATCTAAGTTATTTTCATTTTATCTGAACATCAACTTTGGACAAACATTAGTAACTCAATCCACACTGTTCGCATGGCTTGCCCTGTGGTAGCCGTGACTGCAGAGTGGTACTGGTGGAAGGCGTTATTACAAGGGCAAGTGTGGAAAAAACTAAAAGCTAGCTGGTGCTTTCTCTTACTGTGTTTTTGTTTTTAAAGCCCCATTGCCCTACTATTTGTCATCTCTGGGCTACAGATTTTGTAAGTGAGAATTCAAAGTCAATGGACACGCAGAACAGGACACAAGTACAATTAATGTTCAAGGGTCAGAGAAGCAGAATTTGTATTCTACATCTGAGATGTAAAACTAGGGCTTACCCCTCCCTCTGCCTTGATGCTCGGAGTTACATGGAGCTTGGAGTTATTACAACTAAAATGAAAACTTTGACTGTGTCCATACCCGAGTTCAGATTAAGGAATGGGAGGAATAATAAGAAGAGATGTCTCATCCCTCAGAGGAAATTCACTAGAGGGAACAAAGGAATCTGGCCATGTGATTCCAAATTAAGAGCAGGGGTAGAAAAGAGAAGAGTTCGCCAGTACAGTCTGGTGGCTGGTACCTACAGCCTGTACTTGCAGCTACTCTGGAATCATGTATTTGCCATGAAGAGAAAAATGACAGTGTTAGTATTACATAGAGAACAGAGCTGTTTTTCTTTTTCAGGGGATCTTAAAGGTGAAAGGCTAATGGGAAGGTGAGTTAGCAGAGGTCAGCATCTCAGTAGAGGCTGCATACCATGACAAGATGTCAAAGGCTAGAGGTGGCAGCGTGGAGCTGCGATGACAGTTGTTGGAGCCAGCAGCTGTGTCTTGGCCGGCAGTAAAGGCAGTGGCAGCAACATTTCGTTTCCAGGAGGGTGGAATCTATGGTCTGCAAAGGCCAGGATGGCCTTGTCAGTGCATCTCCAGAAATGGTGCACCACGGGGTACCAGCAATGTCAGTATGTTGGATGCATGTAAGATACCCCCTAGACACTCCTAGAAACGTCATCAGAGTAGCAGATGATACTTTGCAAAGAACTGGAATCCCTACATGAATCAGGTGGTAGCCTAGTGTCAGCAAGATTCAGAGATTAATGTGAACTTGCCCTCATTGTTCCTAGGGCTTGTGAGGTGAGAGACATTGGGAACATTAGGATTTCAAAACAGGCCAGCCCCCTCCCTGTAAGTTGCTGGCATGTTTTTCCCTGGTGTTATACTCAACATTCAAGACACTGCAGAAAATATTTTTTGAATAGCGATAATGAGGAAAACATGAAGCCAGATATTCACACCAAGTAATACTAAGAGTCAAAATGAATGGACAACAGCAATCTTTCGCAATACAGAGGATTCTTAGGAATACAACAGTAAGTGACAAAGCAAATGCTGAAGCATTACATATAGCAATACTATCCTTTAATGTAGAAAGTAGAGCAATTAATACAACAATATACATGGAAGGAAATAGTGAGAGTATTAAGAGGTGAACAATGGGCTAATGAACATGGGGTTCAGGATGATGTTTACATAACAGTGTAGTGTGAGATGGGGAAATGCAATGATGTCTTAATTTCTGAGCACTTCTATAACAGATATACCATAAGTGGCTGGCCTTGGTGAGCAGAAATTGATATTCTTACAATTTGGCAGTGTGGGGGAGGGCAGGGCGCTAGAAGTCTAGAAAGTCTCTTTCTACAGCCTCTGGAGGAACACGGTTGCCTCAGCTATTCTTCCTCCATCGTTTGGTGAGCTCCATTCGGACTTGTTGGCTTCTGTGTCCAATCTGCCCTTACAGCTCAAAACTAACTGACTTCAGACACACCCTACACTAATATAGGAGCCCTGGTGGCACAGTGGTTAAAATGTTCATCTACTAACCAAAAGGTTTGAAATCCCCAGCCGACCCTCAAAGGGGGGAAGATGTAGCGAGAGAAAAATATGACTAGTCTGCTTTTGTAACCATTTATAGCCTTGGTACCCTTATGGAGTAGTTCTGTAGGGCTACCGGGAGTCAGAATCAGCGCCAGGGCTGTAGGTTTGGTGTTTACACTTATAGAGCCCCATTCACATAACAGAGGAAACGCTGTTCCTAAATAAGATCAAATGCCCATGTATTGAGGCTAAGATTTCAAGACATTTCTGGGAAAGGCCAAATGGTTAGAAATAGTAGGTTTTTGTTTGGAGGTTAATGAGTCATTCTGACATGATTAAAATTAGCTAAATAACTAGAGAGTATTGTGCATTTTATTATGATGAAACGGTCATAAAACAAAGATTATGATTAATGCAATTCTGTACATGTTAGGTTTTTTTAATAGGGACGGAAGGGGTCACATATTAAACCAGATTATTTCATGAAATACCGAGATCATTTTTTAACATAACTGAAATTTACTAGGCTTGGAATATCATCTTATATGGACAAAATTCCACTTCAGCGTCATCTCACTTTGATGGTTTCCAATTTGGCAACAGGAGCACAGCATAAACTCATATATCAAGCATTAAAATTGCTACCATAAACCACACAAAGGAAACAAGATATTTAGAGAAAACTGTCTTTGTACGGAGAGGACACCAAGAGCTTCCAGTCTCAATTAGATCAGTAGTCATCTGTGCACCTTTGCCATCCTTGTGAGACCAGTTCTCTCTTCTCTAGTCCACAACTTCAGGCACTGAAGACCTACCTGTCCCATCTTGCGTGCTCAGTGTGGAAAGAAAGAAGAGCTTCCTCAAATGCTGCTCAGTCTGTTCTAGAAAACAGACTTGGGCACAGAGAAAATGGACAGATCTTCGGCACAGCCTTACACCTCTTGCAGTCCAGTCCCTAGTAGGCAGATGGGGGGGGGGCGGGGAGGGCTGGTTGGAAAGAGCAGGGAGAATGGCTCAGGCTGCTTTCCCAGAGTCTTTGTGGTGCTCGTTGGGCAGGGAGCTAGCTGAATGAGACTGATGATGGGCATGGGACATTCTCGTAGTTTTCTGTAGCATCTGCGTGGTCCCTGTCTCTGCTGTAAGCCTCTCTCAGGGTGTCCTCTGGGTGTGCCTTCTTCAACTCTGAATAGATGACTGGAGGGTCCTGTGTAGAAACACAGTCAGAAAGGGGGAACAGATCACAAGGATCTACATATAACCCCCTCCCAGGGGGATGGATAACAGAAAAGTGGGTGAAGGGAGACATCGGGCAGTGTAAGACATGAAATAATAATAATAATTTATAAATTATCAAGGGTTCATGAGGGAGGGAGGGGAAGGGAGGGAAGGAAAAAATAAGGAGCTGATACTAAGAGCTCAAGTAGAAAGAAAATGTTTTGAAAATTATGATGGCAACAAATGTACAAATGTGCTTGACACAATGGATGGATGATGGATTGTGATAAGAGCTGTACGAGCCCCTAATAAAATGATTTTTAAAAAATTAAAATAAAAAAAGAACAGTACCAAAATCTACAAAGGACCAGAATAGTAGAATAAGTTTGGAAATCCTGCCTACCGTATCTTTCTGATGCATTCTTGATGAGTTTGCTGCTGGATAGGAAGAAGAAAAAAATGAATGATCAACCATCGACACCGTATTCCAACTTACGGCCTACTACTAATGGATTCCAAGCCAATCTTTGAATAAAGATTTACAGCCTCCCCAAAGCCCAACTGTAGACAATTAGACATCCCCTTACAGAAGAGTCACAAGGAAGGAACGAACCAGGCAGGGTGCAGTATAGCACCAATGACATTCCTCTAGTTCTGTAATGCTTCCTCCCTGCCCCATCCCCCTACTATCATGACCCCAGTTCTACCTTACAAATCCGGCTAGACCGGAGCATGGACACTGGTACAGATAAGAACTCTCAACACACGGAATCCAGGACAGATAAACCTCTCAGGAACAATAACGGGAGTACTGATACCATGAGGATAGGGGGATGGTGGGCGGAGAAGGGGGAAAAATGGGGAACCGCCCACAATGATTAACGTATACCCCTCCATGAGGGGTACGAACAACAGAAACATGGACAAAAGAAGACAGTGGATGGTGTAAGATATGAAAATAATAATAATTTCTCATTTATCAAGGGGTCACGAGGGCCGGAGGGTGGGGAAGGGAGGAAGGGGGAAAAAGAGGAGCTGATACCAAAGGCTCAAGTAGAAAGAAAACGTTTTGAAAAGGATGATGGCAACATGTGTACAAATGTGCTTGATACACGTGATGTATGGAATGCTATGAGAGCTGTAGGAGGCATATATATGTATGTATGTATGTGTACCAGATTCACAGCCTCAGAAACCCTCTGGATCAGGTCTACTTTGTCCTGTAGCGTAGTTCTGAGTTGGACTCCACCCACGAGGAGATGACCAGGAGTGCAGTGTGGCTAGCATGAGGCCACAGGCCAAGCCTGGCGGCCCCAAAGGGCAGAGACAAGTAGCAGACAGAGTTTGACATAGAGACTCAGTGAAGAATGCTCAATCTGGGAAATGCCATGACCAGTTGTGCATCTCAGGGATCATGCTATAAGCAGATCGTTGGAAAATTGTCTACTTCATAGATTGCAAGAGCTTAATTTAGTCAATAATGTGTTACATTATAAAAAGTGAATTTATTAATCAAAAAAAAATTCAGAGTGTCTACAGCTTTTCCAGGCATTTCACTAGCTAAATGCTATGGGTATGATAGTAAAAAAGAAAAAAAAATCACAATGTCTGTCCTCCGAGGGATTATAAGGTAAGGGTGGTGGCATCGGATGATTATGATTATATAATTGGCAATACTGGAGGAGCCTCCACTTAAAAGCTGTATTTGAGATCCCTGAATCAAAGACCCCTTGTGGGACCTTATGCCACAGTGCCTGCCATTTTACCTCACGTGTCTGGGACGTGTCTCACCTGAGTATTCGGTTGCCTGCTGGATGCTCAAGATCTGGGAGTACAGCAGATCACTGCCTTCAGGGCTTACTGTGAGAGAAGATCAAGATGTTGTCATTGGCTGTAATCAATACCCCACACTCCAGATTCGTCTTCCCATGCCCCCAGTTCATAGCCACCTTCTCTCTCAAAGCGTAATGCCATGCTATTATGTAATTTTTAAATTGGATGATCCTGGGCCATGGCCATTGCCCTTCTCCCTCCTGAGCCCATACAGGGAGCCCTCTGCTTATTCAGAAGTCCTCACCATTGCTGTACATTGGCTGCAGCTCCACTAGGGCTTGTCGATTGGAAGAAGGGGGCTTCGGGGAGTCTGTGGTAGAGGGCCCCAGGAAGGAAGGCTCCAGGGACTCATCGGGTCTATAACTGTGACAGAGGAGATAGAGGCAAGGGAGCGAAGTATTTATGGATGACACAATCTTAGGGAAATTGATATCCAGAAAGACAGAGCTCAACACAGTTCATGTCAAAGAATTGTGGCTGCTTAGACTAGAGTCTACATGACTCTTTCAAGAAGATGCCAGCAGGGAGGTACCCCACCATGGAGTGCAGGCAGGCAATAAACAGGAATGGAAGACTGAGGCACACTTAGTAGACCACACCGTCTCAGGGTCTTTCTGACAGGGAAACTTTCTTACATGGAAAATGTTAAAAATTATTTTCAAAAGCGAAAATACTTTCACATTGATATAAAGAGAATTTTACTTTTCCACAGAACTTGATCTTTGCCTTTTTTCACAAGCTCTCCTTCAATTTTCTACTTTAGATTTCAATAATCAACCTTTCCTGTAAGCTATGAAGATTCTTCAGGAAAAGTGTTCATTTTGCTTTCTCTTTCCCATTCTCTTTTGCAGTTAATATTGCAACGCAGACATTATAAATATAGAATATCATATAATAAAAGAGTTCATGAGTAGAAGAAAGAGCAATGAAAGAATGAATAACTGGAGCCCCTGGTGGCATAGTGGGAAGTTCAAAACCACCAGCTGCTCTGAGGGAGAAAGATGAGGCTTTCTACTCTCGCCAAGAGTTGCAGTCTCAGAAGCCCACAGGGGCGGTTCAGCCCTGTCCTGTAGGCTCGCTGAGCGGGCATTGACTCCATGGCAGGGAGTAATGCAAGATGGTGTCAGGAAGACCTCAGCGCTCACGGATCCAACTGGGCTATTTAAGGACATGTGAACTTGGACAGCAAAAACCATGGATTCTGTACATGCATGTATAGATATACATTCTGCTTACAAATACGAGGAGCCCTGGGATCCTAATAGTTATATTTTGGGCTACTAACCGTAAGGTCAGCAATTGGCAAGCAGCAATCGCTGTGAGGGAGAGAGATGTGGTTTTCTACTCCCACACGGGCAGTTCTACCACATCCTATGGGTTGCTATGCATCAGAACAGACTCACTCACCGTGAGGTGGTTGGTTATTTAGAAATATGAGTGGTCTTCTTAATTTCATGTTTGGGTTTCATAAGAATGTGAAAATGTTAATAAGGAAAGACATCCTGTCAAGTGCTCTGAAAATGAACATGATTCTCTATGTTCCTTTCCTCTGGCTATAAATAAACCTTGAGAACGTGCAGAGCACAAAAGGGCGAGACCTCACCTCGGCGTTCCGCTGGCAGCAACTCCTCCTGCAGAGCAAACACAGAAACAGCCATGTGTTACGTGAGCTCGGTCTCTGTCTCAGCTCTCTCCCTTCACGTAAGGCGAATGTGCTCTTCATTAGAATATTCTTCTAAAATTCTTCTAAAGCATGTTCTCCCCTGAAGACAAACCCATCCTCTCTCTTGCTATGGAAAATCTTACTGACGATTCAGCTTCATCTTGGAGCACGTCTACCCCGCATCAGACTTGTTCTGCTTGGCATCCAGTTAGCCGTGGCAAGCTAGGCTTTAAGCAGTTGTGACTAACTAGCAGACATGAAACCCAAGTATGCGTGTACAACATGGTGCGCTTCGCTGTATCCTGAATAGTACATGTAAACATTTTTGAAATGGCAAATTTTTTTATATACTTTTACCCAGTCCCATAACAGATAACCCCACATGAAGGGCTTCATTGCCCTGACTGCAGCCCTATAGGGTAGGCGTTCTCCCAGTGGTACGGACAAGGAGCCTGAAGTCCAGAAAGGCCAAGAAAGGTGTAAAATCATAAAGTTCTTACACCAGTGCGGGTCAGTGAACGTGCAAAGAGAAGCTCAGATCTAGTCTCTCTTTCTGTACTGTGAATCCTGCACATTCATTTCGGAAACAGTGAACTCCATGCCATGTGGGTACGCAGTGCCATGTTTCCCTCCTTCTCTTCGTCCCTTCTCTCACCGGGCTCGTTTCCACTTACCATTATTCCTCCCCCCATTTCCCAATGCCAACAGGCTGGATTAAGTGAAATACTCCCATGCACACAGGACCTTGTAATGATGATATTGCACTGCAATGATCTATTTCTGTGTCTGCCTCTATTGCACTCCTTTCTGAGAAGGTGTGCGACTTGAGGGTGCAAAACTTATCTTAGTTATTTTGTATCTCCTATAGAAACTATCAGTAAAGTTTTGTTTAACAGTGGAATGAATTAAATCATATACTCTGAGGACTGAAAAATGACATTTTAAACAATTTTTAATAGGTGGTTGTCTTAATAATTTGGTAACCTTAATCTGGAAGCCTACTCTATCAGCCATGGAAATATGACAATTTCCTTCCCTGATTTTATCCGTAGCCCCACATCTGTCTCACTAGGCTTAGAGAACCCAAAATGCTGCCTTTCATGAAAAATGACTGAATGATGTTCACAAATGTTCTCCAAAGGAGCAGGCCTCCTGGGTCAACCTGTACCCTTCTCCTTAGAGCTTTGAGAACCACAAAATCAACAAACAAAGTTCTTGTGGGTGGGTGGGTGGGTTAGCTCAGTTCCAGGATGCAACCTGAAGAGACCCAGAGGTTGCTACCTATAATATTAGCAATATCTATGGAAGATATATGGCCCAGACACTATGATCAAATTGTCTCACAGGATTTAAAAAGTAGATAGTATTATTACCATCAATACACATATGAAGAAACTGGGGTATGGTGAGCTTATCTACTTGCATACTATCAAGTAGTTGGAAAGTTACATTACTAAAATTTTAACCAGGCAGTTCAACTATTGAGTCAGCAAATTCATCACTTCTTTTGTAACTTGTGGGGCATGCTAAGGCTAGGGAGTTGAGTTCTTGGTTGTAGAGAAAGGTGGAAGGGCCGCGCTTCGCCCAGAGAAGATCTAGCACTAAGGATGAAGATTTTGCTCTAAGGCTAGCAAGTAGGATGGGACAGCTTTTGAGAAGAGTAAAGAAGAGGCTGGACTGTCAGATTCCTTAGCTTAGCTTCTTTATTCAAAAACAGAATACTTCCTCCAGAGGGTAATTTGGAGACCTAAGTCCTGAGACCCAGTTCATCTGAGCCACATCAAACGGTGGCGGGCAATCTTTCCTTACCTGGCGTGACTTGGTGGTGCAACGACTAATCAGCCTGTTGTTTTTTAAGACACTGTCAGCTTCAATGCTGACTCCTCCGCTCTCTGTTTCTACTATGGATCATAAAGTAAGAGCTGACATCAGAGATGGATTGTGATACAGAAAAGTAACATGCCTTGGTGGCATAGTGGCTCTGAGTTGGGCTGCGATTCTCAAGATATAACCAACCTTCAATGAGTCATCAAGGTTAATGGAGAAAAGGCAACTCACCTGTCAGAGAGATCCCCCTGTTAAGACCTGACCCTGACTCCTCATTGAGACATAAATATGGAGAAATTAGTTAAATTCCACAAAACTCTGGGGTTTTTTTAATCTCTAACATGGTGATAATATAACTGGTTGAGGTTCACTTAGTTGAATTTAATGAATAATTAGACAAACTATAATATTGTATATTAATTTAATTTTATAAAATTGTATATTGATTCAATTGACTCACAACAAATGATGCATTTTATGATGAGTATGATTCGGGTTGGAATGTTCTTATTCTCTTTCACATTTAGAAATCAAACACAGAGACACAAATTTCTGTTTAGTATGATTTAAGAACCTGCTAAGTACTCTAGTAGCTTTGAAATATCAGTCATAAAACATGGTGCCACGTGTCTTGACGAAGAACGACAGCCGCTTGAGGGGTGGGAGTAGCGGTGATGCGGAAGCAGTACAGTGAAGGCAAATGTAGGTGCACATGTAGGTGCACAAATTCATTTGTTTATTTGCTTGAGTTCCATGATGCAAGAGAAAAGAAAATGCCCTGTTAGACCATATGAGGGAGCAGACCGAAAGCAACTGCTTATTCATTTCAAAATAGAAAGTCTTGACATCTTGCATTGACACAAGACACTGAGGTACAAAGTCTAGACCTTCAGAGGTGACTGGTCCATGAATCAGAGAAACGAGAGCAGTTACAAGAGAACAAATCTAAAAGAGGCAAAAGATGGAATCACCCTGAATCAAGAACTGATTCAGTGGCAGCCAGTAATAACAACATCACACTGAGCAGCGGAAGATGGACGGCGTTCCCGTTGCGATCAGGAAGCAGACACGGATGTCTACTTGCCCCTCCTCTACCCATCATATGGAGGAGGTTCGAGCAATACAACAGGCCAGCAAAGAAGTCAGAGGACTGCAGATTGGCAAAGGCACACAGCTGCCTTTATTTATATGATCATCCATGGCTACCAGAACTGATCGGTGAGTTTAGCAAGGTTGCAGGGTATTAAGGTCAATATACCCCCCACCGAAAAAATCAATTGTACGTCTACATACCAGCCCCGGTGGTGTAGTAGTTAAGCTTTGAGTTGTGGTCTGCATGGTGAGCAATTCGAAACCACCAGCAACTCCGTGGAAGAAAGAATTGGCTTTCTACAACCGTAACAGTTAAAGTCTCAGAAACCCTGGGGGGGGGGGGGGGGGGGGGGGGATGGAGTCCGCTATGAATCAGCATCGTCTCTATAGTAGTGTGTTTGCTTTGGTTTTTGGGAGTCCTACATACCGATACAAACCATCAGATAGTGGAATTTCAGTATCATTCCAAGTGTCCTCAATGTTACCCAAATTTAAATATATTTGACCAATGTTCTTCAGGGTTCGATTTTCATCTATACTTATTTTTGTTACAAATGGAGGTCTTTTCTCTATCCTCACACTTTTTGTTATTTTCAGTAGGCTTTGGAGGGGGGGCAAGTCAATAACTACTTAACTTTCTAAATCTTAAATAGAAACAAAGCTCTACTGCCTGATTTAAATCTCCAACCAAACACACAAAATTACAATTTCATTGAGAATTTTATTTTGCCGTTTCGTCACTATTGCCTACAGAGTGGCAGTGAGTAGAACTGACAGCTCCTCCGTATGTGAAAGGGAACAATGGAACTTTATAGGATGCACACAAAACTCCAACTTATTATTGCAGTTTATTGTATTTAAATCCCTTTAAAAAGCATTGGTGGTTTATAAAGTAATCACAAGGAAGCTCAAAGAGGAGAATCAAAAGTGCACTGTCGCCACGTCAGAGAGTAAGAAATAGACACTTACTGGATCGCCTTCGGGTCCAAAGGTAGACTAACAGAACGACCAAGGCTGCAAGGCCCAGGATGCTGCACAGCCCCCCGATGGCTCCGGAAGTGACACGGCCCATTCTGTTCCTGGAAGACCCTGCAGAGGAAGCCTGTACTTGAGCTCCAAAGGCAATGGTTTTAGATCTTCACAAAACTACGGGGATCTAGCAGGGTAATTTTTCTTGCCAGGGCTCAATTTCTCCATATGAATGATCTCCCAGTATAATGTATCCTCTTCAAAATAATGATACTAGAACAGGGATCATCAGCGTCCAAGATTATTTATTATTTACCCTTTCTCTCGTCCTCATGACATCAGTACCAGTGTCCAGAAGCCCAAGCTTGGTGTGCACGTGCAACAATTGTGGGACATAGGAGAATGCAGACAATTTATGGAAGAAATGTGTTATCAACCAGAACTGTGACTTCTAGCTCAGTCACCACTAACCCACCTATGACACTGAGTGGGACCGGCTCACTGCGCTGGGGCTCCAGGCCGTTGCTGGCCTCACAGGAGTAGTTCCCAGAATGCTCTGCGGTCACAGAGACGTTGAAGGAAGCTCTTCTTGCAGAGGTGGCAGAGCTTGTCCCTAGGGCAACCTCCTCGTGATAGAACTGGTACAAGATTGGACGAGAGCCTTTCTGAGACTCACAGAGAAGTTCCACCACATCCCCTACCGCTGCCTGGGCCCTGGGAGCCCTGACGGTGAGGACAGGGCGAGACACTGGAACTGGGGGAGAGAAAAGTTCATCAGCATACTCGTTTACTTTAGTGTAATAAAGAAAATACCCAGCATCGTTTAACCATAAAAACAGACCTGGAATTCAGGGAAACCTGGACTTGGATCTTGTCTTTGTCCCTCCTTAGCTTTGTGATCTTGATTTTTAAAACAATGCTTTTAATCTTTCAGAGTCTGTTTATTCCTTTGTAAAATGAAACTATCATAAATTACATTTTAAACTATTATAAGTAGTAAGAATCATGTATGGGCTCAGTAAGCATTGGTTATTACTGTTGATAGAAATAATAGCTGAGAGTAAGGTTCATTTAAGAACATTCCTGAGTCCTAGCTGTATGACTTAGCCTTCCACACCGCTCTAAAACAAGCCCTTATCACTCCCTAAGGAATTACCTTGCTTTATTTTCCGAAGTAGCATCTAGCACTATCTAACATCTGTCTCTATGTGAATAAGATTAGAGTGCCTGCTCCTGTATGCACAATCTCAGAAACCCACAAGGGCAGTTCTCGTCTATCCTCGAGAGCAGCAGTTCTCAGCCTGTGGGTCGCGATCCCTTTGGGGGTCGAATGACCCTTTCACAGGGGCCACCTGATTTATAACAGTAGAAAAATTACAGTTATGAAGTAGCAACAAAAATATCTTTATGCTTGGGGGGTCCGCACCACATAAGGAGCTGTATGAAAGGGCCGCTGCATGAAGAAGGTTGAGGACCACTGCTCTTAAGTCTCTCTGAGAAAGAATCCCTTCAATGGCAAAGAGTTTGGTTGAGTAACATCGATCCCTATGGAGCCTGGTGCTGCCGTTAACTACGAGGTCAGTGGTTTAAACCCACCAACTCATTCACAAGAGAAAGCTGAGGCCGTCTGTTCCAGAAAACACTTATAGTCTCAGAAACCTTATTATAGGGTCATTATGAGTCAGAATTAATTCAGTGGCAATTGCTTGTTTAACATCTGTCCCTGGATGAGTCAAATGATTAATATGTTCAACTACTAACTAAAAGGTTGGAGGTTTAGTTGGCGGAGAGGTGCCTCAGAAGAAATGCCTAAGAATCTGCAGAATCTAATTCTGACCAAAAGGGAAAATCTGCCTCTGAAAACTGTATGCAGCCCAATTCTACGCTAACATACATGGCATTGCTATGAACCAGTCAACTCAAGGGCATCTGGTTTTGGTGAACGTCTACCTTTTCATCTTGGTCTGTCCACCGGTCTACGTCTCCACCTGTCTACGTCTCTACCTGCTATTGTGCATCTGACTCCCTCACTAGAATTTGAAGCCCACAAGGAAGGAAACTTGTCTGTTTGCTCATTCCTGTATTTCTAAAAGATGGAACTTTGCCTGGGAGAGAGTAGATGCTCAATATTAAATGATTAAGTGGATAACTGAACTGAACCAAATTTGCATGGGAAAAATCCAGCTATAACACTAGCAATGATGGCATCCATTTAATTTATAACCATAGAAATAGAACGATTGGGAAGAACAGAAAGACGTTAATATGGAATATGGGTTGTAAGATTTCTGGTTCTAAGTTGGAAGGAAACCTGGTGTGAAAGTAGAAGGTTGTAGCTCATTTACAATGGTTCCAAAGCTGGAGCCCACTGTTAGGAATTCAACTACATAGCACCTGCCCTTTATTTTACAAGGACAATGGATTTATATCAATGGAAATGGAAATTTGCTAGCAAATATCAATGTAAACATGTTTATAAATAGTGTATAGATTTTAAAAATGAGTTGCATGGATTTGAAAGAGCAGCTAATGATGTCTTGCTTCCATCTGCATCTAGAAATCTTGTAGAAATATCCTTTTAAACAACAACATACATTAGAACCAATTAGAATAAGCCAAACTCAGAACCAGATTTCAAGTAATTGCCACAAAGAGTAAACTAGAATTTTTAAAATACATGAAGCACATTCAGTTACTTCTTGATTAAAAGATTCTAAGGATATTTTAAAATATTATTTATTTCCTCCTTAATTAAAAAAATGTTTGTTTTATAACGTACATATTGAATTAGCTCCTTACCATCCAGAATCTCACTGACATGAGTCAATGTTGACTCCTGGTGACCTTACAGGTCAGGGTAGAACTTCCCCTGTGAGTTTCAGAGACTGTAATTGTTTATGGGAGTACAAAGCCCAGTCGTTCTCTTAAGGAGTGGCAAGTTATTTCGAACTGCTGACCTTGAGCATTGCAGCCCAATGTGTGACCATTGCAGCCCAATGTGTAAGCATTACGCCACCAGAGCTCCTTGCAACTTAGCACAGTAGTACATAATTCATAAATGCATGTCACTCATAAGTACATATATATTGAGGATCCATGTTCAATATCTTTGACTCAAAGTGGTGTTGAATCAAAAATGTTTGGGTCTCATTGGTCTACTTGGTTCAATTATCTTATTAGTAAGGAAGTCTTTGTCAAGATTAGAAAAAAAGATTTATTCAAGACATCACAACTACTACTATTTTCATGGTTTCAGCATACTGTCTGGAACTTCCAGTTTCCAATGCCTTCATCAGTTGTGCCCCAAATTTGACCATAATATAGGTCATTATTAAGCAAGAAGTCAGAAGTAACTTAAAAGTTTAGTACAGTTGGAAAGCAAGAGAAAGTAAAATCTAGAGTCTGTCAAGATTTGAATCATTGAGAATCCTCTCTCTCCCTCTCTCTCTCTGTAATAACCCTTGTTTAGACCGAGGCTGCCTCCGACATGGCTAGTTGCCAGCATGGGCTGGAAGCAGGAAATATGAGATACCTCAGTAGCCTGGTGAAGAAAACCTTTGTATTAGAGTATTGAGATGGTCTGATTATATGATACTCCAGTGCTCAAAAATTCCTACTTAACTGCGCTTGGAGAAAACTAGAAGATTGGGTAAGTCATCAGGATTTGGAGGCCATCAGGAAATCCTGCGGCTCTGACAGAGCCATAGGAGACACATTTCCATTAACAACCCAGGGAACGAAGCAGGGATTTGGAAAGACTGGGGGTAGGGGCACAACACCTCTGCAAGGACTGGTCTGGTCCCGGATAAAGAAATTCAGATATGAAGATTCCGGTATAGGATTCCACTCCTTTGTCAATAACTGTCAACCAGTATGTATCTGGTATTTGGGAAGGTCTTTGTACCTTTAGTAGGAAGGCTGTGTGGAATTTGTGACTGTTGAGGGCAGTGGTAGAAGAAATAAAGGAAGGGTTTAAATTATGGAACATATAGCTACAAAGAAAATCCCAGAACTCCCACTTGAACGGCAGCTAGAGCAGGAAGTCGGCTGGGATGTCACACACAGGCAAACACACCGCAACGCTCGGTTTCTATGAAGTGGTCGTCTGTTCTTGGTTGTAACTGCTGTGGGTACGTCCGACTTACCTATGACATTGAGTGGCACTCGGTGACTGTGCTGGGCCTTCAGGGCGTTGTTGGCCGCACAAGAATAGTTCCCAGAGTGTTCTGTAGTCAGAGAGAGATTGAAGCATGCTCCTCCAGAGAGGCCCGAGCTGTTCCTCACAATGACATCCTCCTGATAAAACCAGTACCGGATCGGGGGAGAGCCTCTCTGTACCTCACAGTGAAACTCCACCACGTCCCCAACCAGGGCCTGGGCCCTGGGAGTTCGGAGGGTGAGGATGGGGCGAGACACTGGAACTGACAGAGACAAAAGAACTCATCACATAGGGATCTATAGCCCTCATCAAGGAATAGCATCTCTGATCGTTTCTGTGTGCCACTGATCACCTTTCCTCAGCTAATAATCAGAAGGCGTTGTCTGAAGACATTCCGTAAGTCGTGCTGGGTAATTTTGTTTTCTTCACTGCTCAGCCTTCTCCACAAGACGTGAGATAGCTCCGTTTCATTTGGTCATTTTTGCCAATCTTAGCTTGTAAATCTTCACAGTCTGGAGGGCCTCCTTCTGGAGGCCCCCCGTGGTAACAGTGCTGCATTCTGGCCTGAGAACCGTAGGATGAGGAAGAGGCATGCTGGCTTACCTTTGACGGCGACGACAACTTTGTTGCTGAGGATGGGGCCATGAATGTTGTCGGCTGAACAGTAGTATCGGCCGCTGTCCCGTTCGTGTACAGTGGAAACCAGCAGCTGTTCCCTTAAGGAACGTGTGGTTCTTCTTCCCAGACTCCCTGTGCCCTCTCTGTGCCAGGAGAACGTGATCACGCCTGTTCCCATGGCGACAGAGCAGATAAGGACCAGGTCTTCTCCCTCGATTAGCTGGTCTCTATGGGGCTGGATCTCTAGATGTACATCAGACACAGGGACTCCTGCAAGGCACAAAGTAACAGGTGAGAGTTTCAGGACCAAGGAATTTGCATCCAAGAAGGATGCAAATTGCAGTGACAAATAGCAGTGAGTGCAATATGCAAGAGCTGGAAGTAGGTAATAAGAGCTTAAGTGGGCATGTTATAAAACATCACCCTGGTGCCGGTGTTGGATAAGCACTGAATTGCTAACTGCTGCTTTGAGGCTGTCTGCTCCATGGAAACCTTATGATTCATACGATTGCTATGAGCCAGAATCCACTCAATATCAGTAGGTTCTATTATTATCCAGAGAGAAACACCTTTCCCAAAACATACATACAAATCCTGTCCTTGGCAGGATTTTGATCTTCGTAAACCTGATATGTTGGCTGCTGTCACATTCTATGGACATTGCCTCGGAGAAATCGGCAATGTACCAATGGATCCTGGACGAAGAGAGAACACAGAGACTATTCCTCCTTAACCTAAAGTGACTGCACTCGGAATTTGTTAACTCACCAGAAAAATGGGCAGCCCCCATGGATACTCACTTTGCACATGAACCTGAGAATGGAGGCTCCGTTTTCTGAAGGTTTCCCTCATTGTCTCTGCTTCACACCAATAAGATCCTGAATCTTCACTCCCCATGCTAGTCTGGAGTTCTGGGGACCTGCTCCATCCTGCTCCCAGAACCCGGCCCTCTCTGAAGAAGCGGAATTGAAGCTGGGTGTGTGGCCTCTGTGGGGTGAGCCAGGTCTCACATTTCAAAGTCACTGGGCTCCCTTCAATGGGGTCCACGGGGCTGGCTGTCAGTTTAGGAGGTGAAAACAGCTCTAGGGAGGAGAGCAAACACAATCTCTAGGACAGTGAGGCACGGAGCTTCTGAAAAGAGATCCCTGTGCGCTCAGCATTGGCTATCAGGAGACCGAAAGCCATGGGCCTGGAACCAACTCCCATCTCCCTCCCCGTGACGGAGACACGAGGTTCTCCATGAGCACCGACGTCCACTCAGGAGCACTCTCCCTCAAGTCTCACACAATGTTTCCCTGCCAAGCCCTACTATCCCCAGGAGTGTAGTTAGTACCTTGAACCTGGATCCTTAGAGGTTTTGAATGTTCTGTCCATCCCAAAACATTTTTCCCAGAAGCAGAGCAGCCATATACACTACTGTCCCTAGAGATTAGAAATCTGATGAACTGTTTGCTCTTAAACCTAGCAAGTTCATTTCCATTCTTGTAGTAAGTCCTTTCAATAATTTTGTTGTCTTCTTTCCCCAAGCATCTCAGTTCTACATCATCTCCTTCAAAGACAGGGTATGAAGCCTGGAGGATCAGCCAATCTGCAAAAAGTTGGGGGAATACATTCAATTGATCCCCTTCTTCTCCGCCCCCCACCCCAATTCTCTCTTTTGCCCATGAGAGAAGAACTGCAGTCCTATTCATGCCTGAAAGCGTCACCCCCACATGTTTATGTGGCCCCAGTACCCAATTGTTCCTTGCCCTGGAGCGTAAACCAATTCCCAGAAGCTGCCCTTGAGAGAGGCCCATATTGCTGTGAATTTGTTGAGCTAACTTTTTTCACAGTAGAACTGTGCTCTATGGTGCACCATAGGATTTTCATGGCTTTGACATTAAGGAAACACTTGCCAGGACTTTTTTCTGAGGTTCTTCTGAATGTGTTTGAACCCTCACCCGTTTGACTAACAACTGAATGCTTAGCCATTTGCACTACCCACACTTCCTCATACAAAAGAACAATTTTATCTCGTACTTTTCTTCAGACCCCAGTCCCTTTTAGGCCTTATAGCCACCGAGTTGCCCACAATTCTCTGGACGGGTGAGTTCGGCGACTCATTGACCCACTGCTGCCCTAGCTCCTTATTTTATCGCTGACTCTGCACATCAAATACCCCCAGACCTGCTTATCCTCTGCCTAGGCTCCTTGCATTAACCCAGCCCAAGGGACTCTGCCCACTCTGACGTTCTTTCCTCACCAGAAGAAAAATTTACATGCGCCGGGTCACTGAGAGAGGACCCTCCAGTCTTGCACTGGTAATTTCCGGATTTTCTTATTTGAATCGTTTCAGATTTTCCTTTCGATGTCTCCTCATGATACCAAGATGTGTCTTCCAAAGGTTGGGAGTGGGGTCCCTTGCAGAGGAGAGTCACTGTCCCTCCTTTGAATACTGGGTTCCATGGAGGCTGGAGGAGAACCACAGCTTTGGGAGCTGTTCCTGGACAGGAAATAGGAAGATGGAGTCCGCTGGGCGTGAATGGGGGCGACCAGGTACAGGACAGAGGAGGGCCTAGCGTTGAAGCCGAGTCTGCCTCAGCCAATTCCGAGTTGGCATCAAGTTGGAAATTGAACAGAAGCAACCTCGTTGAAATGCCTAGGATAAAATCTGTACCTCTTCTTCTTATGCCTTGCCTCACAGGGACTAGGTCTCAGGTCCCTAATGAAGGTTCAGAAAAGACCACAAAATGAGACGTGCAGTTGGGCAAGAAGTGGACTGATGCTGAAATGCTATTGTCCCGTGCCTCCTGTCCAGATAGGGCTGGATCTCAGAAACATGTCATCTGGAAACATTGCTAGATTCTAGAAAACACTTCCTATTTGACATTTAATGGACTCCCCCTACACCCCACCCCACCTTCACTACTTTTATTTTTTATTTATTTTTTTTAAGGGAACAACATAATTTTTATTCTGAAGATTTGTTTTCTTTTCTTTCTATTTTTTTGAATCATTTTATTGGGGTCTCGTACAACTCTTATCACAATCCATCCATCCATCCATCCATCCATGGTGTCAAGCACATTTGTACATTTGTTGCCCTCATTATTCTCAAAACATTTTCTTTCTACTTCAGCCCTTGGTATCAGCTCCTCATTTCCCCCCCATCCTCCCTGCTCCCCCCTCCCTCATGAACCCTTGATACTTTATAAAATATTATTTTTTTATCATCTTACACTGCCCGACGTCTCCCTTCACCCATTTTTCTGTTGTCCGTCCCCCAGGGAGGAGGTTATATGTAGAGCCTTGTCATTGGTTCCCCCTTTCTACCCCACCCTACTCACACCCTCCCGGTATCACCACTCTCACCACTGGTCCTGAAGGGGTCATCTGTCCTGGATTCCCTGTGTTTCCAGTTCCTACCTGTACCAGTGTACATCCTCTGGTCTAGCCAGGCTTGTAAGGTAGAATTAGGATCATGATAGTGGGGGGTAGGGGGGTAAACTTTTAAGAACTAGAGGAAAGTTGTGTGTTTCATTGTTGCTACACTGCACCCTGACTGGCTCTTCTCCTCCCCGCGACCCCTCTGCAAAGGGATGTCTAGTTGCCAACAGATGAGCCTTGGGTCCCCAATCTGCACCCCGCCCTCATTCACAATGATATGGTTTTTTATTCTTTGATGCCTGATCCCTGATCCCTTTGACACCTTATGGTCACATAGACAGGTGTGCTTCTTCCATGTGGGCTTTGTTGCTTCTGGGTTAGATGACCACTTGTTTACCTTCAAGCCTTTAAGACCCCAGATGCTATGTCTTTTGATAGCTGGGTACCATCAGCTTTCTTCACCACATTTGCTTATGCACACATTTGTTTTCAGCAATCGTGTTGGGAAGATGAGCATCATGGAATGCCAGTTTAATAGAACAAAGTGTTCTTGCATTGAGGGAGTACTTGAGTGGAGGCCCAATGTCTATCTGCTACCTTAATGCTAAACCTTTTTGAGAATGATGATGGATGGATGTTTGGACTGTGATAAGAATTGTATGAACCCCCAATAAAATTATCTTTAAAAATATTAAGCCTATAAATATATGCACATAGATCTATTTCCCCATCATCATATATAAATATATTTACATATATACAGCCCTGTATTTAGGCCTCTATAAATGCCCTTTGCCTCCTAGTTCTTTCCTCTATTTCCTTTTACTTTCCTCCTGTCCCACTATCATGCTCAGCCTTCATTTGGGTTTCAGTAATTCCTCTCGGTTACATTGCCCTTGATCAAGCCCTACCAGGCCTCCCACACCCTCCTTGCCACTGGTTTTGAATCACTTGTTTTTCCCTTGTCTCTGGATTGGTTTACACCACTTCCTTTCCCCCACCTCCCCCTCTCCCATGCCCCCACCCCCACCCCTGGAACCATCGGTCCCATTGTTTTCTTCTCCCCATTGTTTATCCAGCCTCTTATTTAGTTAGACCCGCAGAGATAATAATATGCACATAAAAACAAGATAGCGTCAAACAAAGCAACATAGAAAAACAAAACACCAACAGCAACAACAACAACAAAAAAAACGATGAACAAAATCAAGGTGGGAGGTCAGACCAAACCCAGGGAGGTACGTGTGAGTCCAACATAAAGAAGGGGAAAGGGGGAAGGAGGAGGGAGAATGGGCGTGGGGAGAAACTGAGATAATGACATGGGTACCAATGTCATTGGAGCAGGGTACCAATTGGAGCAGGGTACCAATCCACCCAGGGGGAGAGTATTGGTTATTTCCCCACAGAACTGGAATGTGCATACAGACCCCACCATGATGAGCCAACTGGGAGGGCAACGTAACACATGTAGGAATCCATAAAAAGACTGGACTATAGGGCCGGCCCAAACCAGAATCAGCCTGACCCCCCACCATGGAAGTGTGTGCCACAGAGAATGACAGTAGACCTTCTGGTGGGGGAAGGAACAGACCTACCATACCCAGACAGAAGCGGAAGCAAATGAAGGGGGAAGAAGGGAGTGGAGCACACCCTGGCCCACCAAGCTCTGAGGACAATAGCCCCTCTCAGAGCAGCCAATGCAAAGAGAGGACCATATGGCGGGCCCCACTAGGAGACACAACATCCTTCACTGACCCATAGCCCTACAGGGGACAACACTGGAGACACAGTGTGGGAATTGCACCCAATCTGATCCCACCACACCAAGGCAAAACACTAAGGGTGTGCAACAGAACTGCAAGGGAAACAGAGCAAGGAACTCCCCAGGGAATACCAAAAATAGACTTTGGGGCCAGAGCATGGCACCCCATCAGACCCGACCGGAAAACATTGCTAAAGGTCAACAAACAGACCTTGAACTATTTACAGGCTTTTCTTTCCTTCACTACTTTTAAACCTGGCTTAATTGAAGATTCTATTGGGGAGGTAACCTCTCTCCACTTTTCCAAAACTGAAATAGAATGAATAATTAAGGGATACAGTGATTTAGGATGAAGGGGCCTGGGTTGCTTGGGAAATCAAACTGGTGTATAGAATTGCTGCAGACTGATGGGACTGGACGTTGAGATGTGAGGGCAACATGAGCGCCTTTGGGATGTGTGTAAGGGGTTGGATGCGGCGTTTTCCCTCAGAGAATGAGTGCGATTTCCACGCTCTCTGACAGCAGCAGAGGCCTGGTGGTGCAGTGGTTACGGATTGGGTCTGATACAAAGACGAAACAGTGACCGTCTCAGAAATTCACAGGGGCGGTTCCACCCTGCCCGATAGGGTTGCTATCTGTTGGCAGTGAGTTTGATTTTCTGTTTCTGTTTTTTGAGAGCAGGGACTAATTTGGACAAACTGAAGGAGATAATTCAGAGTATTCCAAATAAAATTCACTGCCATTGAGTTCATTCCAACGGATAGGCACGCTCTAGACCAGGGGTTCTCAACCTTCCTAATGCCGCTTCCCTTTAATACAGTTCCTTGTACGGTGACCGCCCCCCCAACCACAAAGTTAGTTTCGTTGCTACTTCAGAACTGTAATTTTGCTAGTGTTTTGAATTGGGTCAGCCCTGTGGACAGGTCGGTTAACGCCACAGGTTGAGAACCGCTGCTCTAGGGTTTAAGGCACGTCAGAGCTGAAGTCTTCTCAAGATCAGCTATCTGCCTACAATATCAACCATCTGCCTCTGCCTTTCCTTCTGCAAAGGTTTCCTTCCTGTCTACACCAAGGCACCCCAGCATTGTGGAAAGAACTGGGGGTGATCAGCTCATCCAGCATAGGAATAGGTCTGACCTCCATACCACTGCTGTTGGTACATCCATGCAGCCCTCATGTACCGGGGATGGGGCAAGGGGTGCTGCCTGAGGTGATCAATGCCCACTGAACATGAGGCATGGAGGGAAAGGGAAACTTACCAATTTGCTCACCTCCAGAAGCTGCAAGGGAGCCGAGAGTCAGAGATTAGTACAAAGCAGTGCTCCTCAAACATTGACAACTCTCAGAAATTTTCCAGCAACACAGACTTTTTTTTCCTTTCTCTACTCCCATTCAACACCACCCACAGTGCCTAAGTAAAAGCAATTAATTGGTTAATTAAAACTTATATTTTATAAACAGGTAACAACTTTGTATCCACAACCGCAACTCATCTCTCTGCTATTCCCTTCTCGGCAGCTTTATGTTCGGTTCCTTCCTCTCTTCTCCGGTCCGAAATCAGCAGGGTCGAAGGGAGAGAGCAAAATCACAGATAGAAGCTCCCCAACCTGTCCCCTGACAGACTTAAGGACCCATGGGACCTGCAAGACCTACTCACCCAGGATCAGCAGTAGTGGGAGCCGCCAAAGCATGGAGACTGGGTCTGGTGGAAGCTGGAGAGAGTGTCTCACCGAAAACCAGGCTGATTGTCCATGCAAGGTAGACTGTAGACTGCTGCTCAGAGGCGACATGCGAGACCTAGAAAAGGGGAAGTCGCAGAAGCCAACATCATATCCCTCCTTAGCTTGTAAAAATGTGGCAACCTTCCGAAAAGCTCTTCAAATTTCAATCCTGGCAGCAGTGCGTCCTGGGCTGTTGGGTGTCCCCTTCCCACAACATAGGACTCTCAGGAGAAATGTCCCCACACTGACTGAATTCTCAAATGTTGACCTGGGGATTTGATAGCATTTAGATAAAATGTCCCTGGTTTTTCAAAGGGACAATCTTTTTACTAACTAAATTCAAATAGCCTTCAGTTCCCCTTGAGGCTCCTGATACAGACTCACATGATAATGTGGTGACTACTCTTGTTTTGTGCTGTGAGTCATGCAAAGTCAAGGTGTCAAGCAGACACAAAAGCTCTTCTGGCCTTAAGCATAAACTTGGCATGAAGCTGCTGAACAGGAAACTAATAGAAATGGGCAAATCAGCCCATTTTTTTTGCAAACTTATTAAGAACCTTTCCAAGTGGCCTTCCCTGGTCTTGCATTGAGGAGTTACACCTCATTATTTCCTATAAAAGACATCATTCTTTTCTTTAATTGCTTACTTTGTGTATGTATCTGTCTGTGTGTGTATCTTCCCCACCTACAAACCTAGAAGGGTTCAGGTTCGCCTTATCCACCGTTATGGTCTCTGAACCTATCCCTGTTCTTTCAGTAATGTAGACAGTATGTGTGAGGAAGTCAACCAGTGTTTCTCTACATTTCCATTATCACCCTCTAAGACAGTGCTTCTCAACCTTCCTCATGCCGTGACCCTTTCATACAGTTCCTCATGTGGTGGTGACCCCCAACCATAACATTATTTTTGTTGCTACTTCATAACTGTCATTTTGCTACTGTTATGAATTGGGCGACCCCTGTGAAAGGGTTGTTCAACCCCCAAAAGGATCGTGATCCACAGGTTGAGAATGGCTGCTCTAAGGAGTTTTCAGATTTTTTTCCAACTCATCCTTCTCTTCCATGAATTATTAATATCACACACATACATTGTACTTCTGTTTATGTACTTTACATATAAAGATGCTTTATAGATAATTTTTAAGTGAGATTTTTTTCACCTCTCCCAGAAGCAATTTTTACTCCTCAGGGTAATATCAACTCAGTAGGAAACACGTGCTCTGGATATAGAGACAGATTTTTCTTGGTCATCTAAGTCTCAGCATAGAAAGCTCTGATCCTCCAAGAGACCTTGGCATAAGAGACAAAGATGACCTCAAATCAAATACCCAAGCCTGTTGTGTGAAGCAGATCCTCTTCTTCAATCTAACAGTACTCAACTCTTCTCCACGCCATTTACCAAACGCTATCTTTATCAAACCAGAAGATCAACTGCCACTGAGTCAATCCCAGCTCATGACAACCTTACAGGGCAGAGTAGAACTGCCCCTGTAGTTTTCTGAGACTGTGAATCATTGTGGGAGTAAAACAATCTCACCTTTCTCCTCTTTGTCTTTAAATACAAGCAGATGTTCATGTGAAGGTATCATAGCCCTTTCTCCCATTGCACCGTGATGCCACAAGAGCTAGACATGCGTCTGGCTTGCTCACCATTGTTTCAGTGCCCCAAACAGCACTTGTCACATACTAAGTTGGCAATAAACCCCTGTTAAGGGGGCACATGACCCAGCACACAATAAAGAGCAGGATGACAATGAAAGAGAATTGAGTGTATGTTACTCCTTAGTCATACCTGGATGAAGGTTTTCCAGTACGCTGAAAAAGTATTAGTTCTGAATATTTCTCTAAATTGCATTCAACTATTGAAATTGTACCCAATTTGTTCTATGGTTCTTACTCACTGCCAGCTAATGCTTTTAAGGCATGGATTCCATTTCTTCTAAAAGTGTTTTTCTGACCTCCTGAGCTTAGGTTAGGTGTCCCTTTTAAGTGTTTTGATAGAATTTGAGATTTTCTTCAACACAGAGCTTATCACAGTACAGTGCAGATTTCTAGTTCTCGGGCAGACTGTCCTCCATAGTAGAAGAATCTTTAGGGCAAGAAACTCTGGTTCACTTTCGGTTCCTCTGTGTCTGGCATAACCATCCACAAAACAAAGACTCAATTGAACAGGGACGGTTTCAATATGTCCCTGTAACAGACTTCTGCCCTAGAGCAAACACAACTCATTTCAGGTGCAGGGTAAAGGTGTTGATGATGCGACCTGTTGCTTCCTATGGTGGAAAGAGATATTCAAGAAGCACGTTTTGGAATTTTATTGTCCACCTGGTACTATCTAGTGGCTTGTCTAGCACCCCCCCCCACTCCCACCCCCACCATACAGAAGGAACTACTGAGTCGTGTACCATTTATGTTCCCAGAATTTAGTATGGTGTCTGAATGAAACCTAGCATCTGATTGCCAGATAAAGTACAGGGTTCCCAGTTAAATATCAATTTCAGGTAAAGCAACAAATCATTTTGGTATAAGTATGCCCACTGCAGTATTTTGAATATTATTCCTAAAATTATTCATTTACTGAAATCATTCATCATATGTCAAAGCCCACTGGCATCGAGTTGATTTTGACTCATATCAACCCTATAGGATAGACTAGAACTGCTACTTAGGACTTTCTAAGCCATATATCTTTATGGGAACAGGCAGGCACATCTTCCTCCCAAAGTGAGTTTGTTGCACCCCAACATCTGACACATTGCACTAGCAGTTCATTTGTTGTAGACATGACATTCAAGTGTAATTAGACAATCATCAACTCCGATCCTCTCTAAGCTTCTTAACTTAACTGATTGGTAAATTAGGAAGAATAAACTAAGCATGCTTCACTCAGCTACCAGGTGGTATTGTGGGTAGACATTGGTCTGTTCATTGAAAGGTTGAAGGTTTCAATCCACCAGACGCTCCATAGGAGAACGATGAACCTGTACCTATAATGATTTACGGTCTCAGAAACCCCAAGGAAGAGTTCGACTCTGTTCTACAGGGTCACTCTGAGTCAGAATCAACGGAATGGGAGTGGATTTTTATGTCTTCAGTAACTCTGCTCCATGCTGTTCCCTTTGGGTGCATACCCGCTGCTAGAGATCGGAGAGTAGACATGGGTCTATCCCTGCACTTGGCGGGGTGCCTAGGATAAGGATTCTTGAGGCACACGTTTGGGGTGGATTGGTTCTTTCTGGATCCTTTGGGGCACAGGCTTTGTAGATATCCGCATCTAAGCAGGATCATTTGAAAGATCAGTTGAGATTGGTTTTCTAACGGAAACAAGTGTGAGGACAAAGCGAACATATTTCAGATAAGACAAGTTTCCCAAGCTACTGTAAGTCCCTAAACCGCAACAGCCCATCTGCTTGCTGAAAAGTGTAGGCACTGTGTCCCTGAAGAGATACCCCACTCAGTTCGTGATTGACCTGTCAGAAGTACCCGAGTCAAAGGGGAAGTGAAATGGCCGAGATTTGAATATATGCCATTGGAAGGAAAAGTACACAGGTGGGGGTCCCAACCCACCCTCAAAATAGTAAATGGTTCATGTGAAAACTGACTCGGTGCGGGGAGGCTTCCCACAACGGAGGTTAAATTAAAAGGTTCTGGGTCAACTGATATCAGCTGACTGACAGCTGAGCCAAACAACCAACTTCTTGATCTACTTGACTTTGCTCACCTCTGTCTATTCTGCTTTCCTTGCCCTTGACGGGCCCTCTGTTGTGATCGAAGGAGACTTCATGCATGGGTTCTAGGAGTGGAAGGTTGCCTGGGATAACGAAAAGTAGGGTTGGGGTTGCCTTTTTTTTTTTTTTTGTCTGTAGTGTGATAATTTTATATACTCTATTAATTCTTTGAACTCTCTAAGGGTGTGGCTCATCCGAGTCTTGGCATTGAATGAGTGCAGCCTCTGAATCTCTGAGATTCAGAAAAAAATGATTCAATTCCACCATGAGACAGTCCAGGCAGCATTACTAAAACAACACTAACTCCACCCAGGCACTGAGAACCTTTCCCCAGCTTAAATTAAGCAGAATATGAAATCAGAGGAAGTGGGTCACTCGCAAAAAATAAGTTTCTTTTGCATTTTTTTGGTATTTTCGTGTGTCTGGAATTTTCTTACAAGATGTCTTAATCTCTGAAGCTCAATTTCTTTCTAAAATATTAAAAAGAGAAGGGGCTTGTATTAAAATTTTTAGTATCTTAATGTTGTTGCATTTTATTATTGGAGGATCTGATGTAGTTGTTTAATCTCATCAAAGACCTCTGGACTGCCTGTTAGATTTGATTTGGAATGGGGAATGTAATTAGTAGCAAAATTTCAGCCTTTTGTGGTTTTTAATTAACTTTTTTTTTCTTTCATATATTTCTGAGCCTTCTCAGAAAATTTCACACTACATGTGGCTGCACATACAGTGAATGCTGCACTACTCTTCATGCGGCTGAACATGAAGTGAATTGGCTAGGAGTAGAACTCAGGTCTCGAGCATGGAAAGTGAGCATCTTAACACGGAACCATCTCTATTTATTTCCCTTTGGTCTTTTCTAAACAATATTGTTCAGTTTTCCTATTTGAAGTATTTATATTGCTTTAATCAAATGGTTGGATTTTTTTGTCTTGCTTCTTTCCCTTACCATTATGTTTATGCATTTATTTTAGGTTACACTTTTGGTGTTGGATAATATTCTGTTGTAAGATTATGCCGCAATGTTATTTATCTGCTTATGGCCATTTGAAGAGTTTCAAGTTTTTGGCAATTGCAATCATACTGTGGATATAAACAAGTATGTACCCAAGAACTGAATTGCTGATTCACGGGTATATGTATATGCCAAAAAAATTTCCTAAGTACTAGTACCAACTTGCATTTAGCCAAGTCCTTCTTGCTGCCCTTAAATTTAGTTGTTCTCGTTGGCGTGTAGCGACATCTCATAATTTTAGAATATATTGCTCTCATTAATAAGATTGAACACATATTTTAGTTGTATTGTCTTTCTGATTTCCTCTTTGGGGAAATGCTTGTTTACATACTTTGCTCAGTTTTCTATTGTGTTATCTGTTTTTTCTTTATGAATCTACAGATCTCTATAATACATAGCTTTGTGTACAAACTCTTTGATGGGTTGATGCCATGACAATATTTTCTTGCACTCTACAGCCTCCTTTTGTACATAATTACCTGCATCTCTGGATGAACCGAAGTTCTTAATGTTAATCAAGCAAACCAATTGTTTCCGTTATGGTTGGTGTCTTATTTAAGAAAAAAAATGTCCATACTCTGAATATGTTTTTATATTCTTCTAAATTAGAGGTAGGGGACCTTTTTCCTGCCAGGGGCCATTTGGATATTTATAGCACCATTCTCAGGCCATGCTGGTCAGACCTTTAATGAACTCACCTCTAATGGGATGGCTGGAACTGCTTGTCTTGGGTGAGGCCAGTGATGGTAGCTGGTGTGGTACTCACCTAATCTGGTGTCAATTTAAGGATTAAGAGTGTAGGGGTGGAGTCTGGGCTGTCAATCTGGAGATAGCCAATGAGACTTCTGAGTGGGCATGGCCTTCTCCTGAGAATTCTGGTACTTCCTCCTTGGAGGCAAGAGCCGCTTCTCTCTCACTGCCACTCCCTGGGAGACATTGCAGAAGACAAGCCACATGGA